CCCCCCCCCTGTTTGCGCTTCCCTTGTTTCCGTTTCTGATGTACATGGCGCACACTTCTTCCATTGCTGCCGCTCACCACTTTTTTCCTGTGTGTGTTTCCTTTCCCTTCTTTCTCCCCTCTACACCTTGGCATGCATCAGCGCAGCTCCCTTCTCCAGGTAGTCCTTTCGCGCAAGGCACGTGCTCAGGAACGTCGGCATCGACGCCGCCACAGAGCCGCCGATCCACGCAGCGGTATCACGATCCGGGAAGGCAATGCAGTTCACTGATCGGCGACTACCCGCGTTCAACGCCGCCACGTCATGTTGCAGACGCTCCTCAATGCCCGGGAACATTGTGTTGCCGCCGCCAAGCACGATGTTGGCGTAAAGGTGCGACTGCGTAAACGCCGGTGCACTCTCCACAACTTGCGTCACGGCTTCCGCCCACCCGCCACCGCATCTACTACTGTTGATATTACTGTTGTTGTAGTCGTTGTCGGTCTCGTCCCCCGACGGGGTGAAGAGCAGCTCCGGTATCATGAACTGACTTTCGTGTAGGTAGATGCGCTGCTCGTCTGGCAGGACGTAGCAGACAAGCTCCTTCTTCTTCTGCAGCTTCACTACCTCCTGCGCGGCGTCAGCGGCGACGTAGCAAAGCGAGCGCTTCATCGACTCCACGATGTCGCGGTCCCGCGGCGTGGAGAGAGCATAGCCCTTGCCGCGCAGGAACGCCAGCAGCCTGTCCGTCAGCACACGCCCCGCCCCGTGCGAGACGTGCAGCGCGTGCTGCAGGATGTAGCCCTCCCACACGGCGTTGATTGTCGTGCAGCCCTCGCCACTGTCCAGCACGAGGCCGGTCGTGCGGCCGGTGGAGTACACTGTCGCTGCTGCAGCACTGGTGATGCCAAGCAGCGGGATGTCGAAACTCTCAAAGAGCACCTCGCACAGGCGCTCGCGGTCCTTGCGTGGCGTGCCCGTCGCTTCTACCCACATCAGCGGTGTCTCGCTTGGGATGACGGGCAGCCACGTGTAGAGCGCGTCGTGCAGAATGTGCTCGAGCCCTTCAAAGCTCACCACGCGGCGGTCCTGCACGGGGCGGCTGAGCTTCAGGATGCCCTCCCGCTCGAGGGCGTCGTCACCGGCGTAGTCGTCGCTGTGGTGCTGCAGCAGCGAGCCGAGTACGCCGCGGTGCCGCGGGACACCCACGACGGTGGGCGATACGACACGCGGTGCTTCCTCGCCGGCGAATCCGATCCGCGTGCTGCACGACCCCACGTCAAACACGGCGACGGACTGCCGCTGCTGCTGCTGCTGCATGGTGAGGCGAGAGCAGCACTCTAGATGACCAGTCCACACCACCTCTGTCAAGAGCGAAGAGGAAAGAAGAACAGTGGAGTACCGAGAGAGTGGAAAAGTAAGACCACTTGACTTCACACCGCCAACAGAATTAGGCAGCAGACAGCAGACAACGATACGTTGAAAACATGGATCAGCACCACAGGGCAACCACTCACTTCTTCTACAATGCAAACAAACACACACACACACACACACACACGCACACGCATGCATATGTGAGTGTCACTCTCTTCCCCTCCCTCACACAGACTCACTACCTCTCTGCCCCCCGCTATACTCACCCATCTACCCATCCCATTTTAGCCCCTAACACACAATGAAGGACTCTATCCACCCCCCACCCCCAAAGCCCAAGACCCTGCTACAGCCCCATGCACGCACTCAAGCACACACCACCTCACCAGCAACAAACAGAGAAGCGCTGAAGGAAAAAAGCACAGCAACGGCAAAAATTGCTCGAACCCCTCATTGAGGGGCGAATTCACCAGAGCGGCTCTTGTACTGCGTCCCCTCCGGTGGACTAAACACATCAGGGCATTTGCCGATGACTTCCCTCGTCCCTTCGATAGCTTCTTTGTGAGCATCAAGGATCTGGCTCATTTCTCTGTTGCGCTGGTAGAACTCGTGCTCGTTTAGGGCGCCGAGGATCCAGCGCTGCTTGTGCGTATTGAAACTGAATGGCTGCTGCCGGAAGTACAGACAAATGGCGATGATAGAAACACCAGCGAGCAAAACGGAAAAGAAAATCTGATCTGGTACCAAGAGCATAAGAAATATTTTTCCCTCTCGGTGGGTACGTTGGGCCTGTTGAATAGATGCCACACGCGCGTGGGCGTTCATGTTGTTGTTGCGATACAGCATGCCCTTCTCAGAGGCACGCGCACCAGGGGAGAAGGCGTGCAAGTAAGGCTTCATCGCCCGCCGCAGTGTTTGGCGAATCATAATCTCCTACTACTGCTGCTACTGCTCTTTCTGCTATTGTTTGTTGCGCTCTTAAACTTTTTTTTTCTGTGGTGGGATATTTCCACCTGCTTGGGGGAGTGGCTCTTTACTTTATTTCCTGACGCCTTGCGGTTGAACGGCACAAGCAGACGGACTGACTGACTCACACACTCACACGCAGCCGCAGACAAAGTGCTTTCGACAATTCCCTTTGTTTTTTTTTTTGTGTTTTGCGTTGTTGCCCCGCAACTATGAATGGCAAAGCAACAAAGGAAAGCAAGAATACATATACACAAGCACACGCCACTCATAGGCCGCAGTGACGCGAAGACACATCGTACGAACAGGACAGCGCATGTGATGGGGTACGCCTCTTTGTTTCTTTTTTTTTTTTGTGTGTGTGTATCTTCCAAAACTCACAAATCAACGTCACGAAAAACACAAGGCCGCACACCACCACCCCCCACCCCTGTGTGTGTGTGTGTGTATGCGGTGGGCATGATATTCAATACATCTGAGCATTCACATCGTTGCATTCTCTTCACCTCTCTCCCCATCCTTTATCTCCAATACTCATGATACATACGATGGCCCCTCTCATCAAGGAGCATATATATATATATATATATATAATTTTACTCAAGGCGGTATCAACGGAAGTCTAGGCCAGGTATCCCATCTCCACAGCCTTGTTCTTGAATTGCTCGATACCGCACTTTCCGTCTTGGGCGATGCTGGCGAAGACCTCCTTAACTTGCGTGTCTGTAAGCCCAAAGTTCACCTTCTTGCACAGATCCTGCACCTCCTCGAGCGGGCGTCCGCCCGCAAAGTATGAAGACTTCACACCCATCTGTACATAGTGGCATGGGTAGAGGAGGTGCGGCACACGCACATTATCGTCCAGCTCGGTGGACCCCACCTTCCCGCTGCTCAGCCTGCTGCCGAATGTGCACGCGAAGCGTGAACGGGTCTTGCTGTGGCTACCGTCGTCGCCGCTGCTGACGCCGCCTGCGTTGGTGGCAGTGGCGGTGCTCTCCAGCGCATCCGCCACAGCGCATGTGTCCTGCGCATGCACCGTGGCAGGGTGCTGCGCCCAGGAGCTAAGCACCTCGCGCGCCGCGTCGCCATCGCCGTGCCGCGTACGCCGCACTGCCCGCCGCTCTGCCGTCTCCTCGAATGGTGCGTTGTGGAAGCCGTAGGCACGCGGCTTGCCTACCTCTACCCGCGTCGTCGCCTGGAAGTCCTTCACAAGCTTCGGCAACAGCATCGTGACGGGGCGGCTCTCGCTCATCACGTCGCCCGACGTGAAGGCATCGGAGGCGGGGCAGAAGCCGAAGCGGTGCTGCGTCGGGTCGATGCCGACACGCGCCCAGTCGTAGCCGCGGTCGGTGCGAGCGCCAACGGGGTCCAGCACGTCAATGTCCTTGCCGCCGTACACGACGCGCTTGACGCTCTCGCTGCGGTCCGTCGTGACGCCAAAACCGTTGCGCGGGACCAGCACATCGTACGGTGGCGCTGGCGCGTGGCCAAGCGGGCGCCGGATACACGAGAGATACATGCGCTCCAGCTGCTCGTCCATCAGTGCGGTCATGCGGCAGCTGTCAGGTTGCAGGCATGCGTGCGCGCCCCCATCGGTGGAATTCTTAACGCCGTACCGCACTGTTTCGTCGACAGGCGGGTCGCGCGCGCGGCCGTAGTGGCGGTACGTATGACCCACGTCGCCTCCGCGGCGGTAGGACTTGATGAGGTCCGGTGTAGAGCGGCCGGAAGTGTAGTAGTTTGAGGTCAGCTCCGCGACAGTGCCGCAGTCGCTGTTAATGACGAGACCGGCAGCACGTATCTGCGGTGCGATGTGGCGCCGCGGCCGGGTGCCCCCTAGCGAGTTGTCGTACACGGTACACGATGGTGACGACATGGATGCTCTCTCCCTCTTTTCTTCCCTCCAGACAGAGACACAGACGCCCTCACGGACAGACGGACGGACGGACCTACACCTAGTGTGGTTGTTATTGCTGCGCCGCGAAGAGACAAAATGTGGATGGGGAAAGGTGTAGGGTGGGGAACAACGGCGTACCCACCATCAGAGAGAGAGAGAAAGAGAAAGAGCCATCCCAAACGCCAACGGTAGTAGGGCAAGCCCACACTTACCCACCAGAAAGAAGGAAATAATATCCAAACATAGTGTTGATAGGATTGAGGAAAGAAAGGTAATGTCACTCACAGATACTCTCGGTTATGGACTACGTTCCCTTGTTTGATGTTGCCTCGCTCTCACTCTCTCTGCAGCTCTCATTTCTTGTTATTTTCTTCCTTACCAAACGCAAAAAAGAAATCATAGGGACACAAACCCATGCACGCAAGTATTTACTTATTCACCCTTCGGGTGGTCAGTGGGCGGCCCTTGTGGCGCGTCATTACGTTGCGAAGAAGCGCCCTCGTCTTCGCCAAGACGAGACCCTGCTGGGTGCCCCTGTTCTTTCTCCTGCTGCTGCTGCTGTTGTTGCTGCGATGGTGGTGGTGGTGGTGGTGGTGGCGGCGGCGTGGTGTCTGTGGCGTACATTTTCCGGCTATATCCCGTCAGGCGCAGTAGCCGCTCGGGTGATCGCAGCAAATCAACGAGCTCAAAGTACACGGATTGTTCAAGCCGCAAGTCGCCGCACTCCCGCGCGATGCCGATGTATTCAATCAACTGTGCAACCGGTGTGGGATCAGCCATGTCGGTGAGAATGATGTGCTTCGCCTTCTCCGCAAAAATCCCGCGGAAAAAATGGCCCACGGCAAGGACAAATGTTGTGTAAAGCGCAACGATCCCGATCCCTTGCAGAAAGGAGACCCCACTGGCGGAAGGATCAGAAAGCACCACATAGTACATGGTGACTGGGTTGTAGTTCGTGTCCCCGTTGTGTCGTTCAAAGTCAAAATTGCTGCACCCCTCCCCCTTTGAGAGGCAATCCCACTCTGGGAACAGTGCCACATCCTCGCCAGGGATGTTTCCACCTGTAAAGAGTGACTGACACTTGAGACACCAGTAGCGGACGGAGTTATTCAACACAGGGTCAACCTCTCGTCGTAGCTGGAGGCTGCAGTCCATTCCATTCAACCCCTTCGAAAAATCATACTCATCAACGGTTTGCTCTCGGCTGAATAGGAAAGGGGTGTAAAAGTTCTGCAGAAGCACAAACTCCGTCTCGTTCACAGTCTCCGCGTTCATCATTTGTAAAATTCCATCAGCAGTCTGCCACGGAATGTTCCACTTACTTGTACGTGTAACAGAATCCGCCGAATCGAAGTGCGAGAACTCCAACGACTGATACATGTACATTTTTGTTTTGTTTTCCGCAACTTCTTGGAGCTGATCCTGCAGTTGCCGGAAAGCTTGCGGGCTGATTGGCCAGAGGTCATTGCTGCATGAACTCAATTCCAGCAACTGCAGCGCCTTATTGGGGTCCAATAATCCCTCCTGAGCGAGTGAAGGGCGGGTGCGTGCCAACCACAGTGCCCAGTCGGCGGGGTACGTCGAGGCCTTAAACACGGTCGACGTGTAGTATCGCTGCGATGACATTATGGAGAGACCAACGCGCAACTCTGTGACATTATTGATCTGCATCGATGGGTTGAAGGTGGAATAGTAGAGCAGCGGTGCGACCAGCACGACCACGAAGACGGCGAGGCATGCAACCCCGTCGCTCAGCTTCGAAGTCCAGCCAACCGCGGACCCCACCACCGGCCTCGGTTTCCTTGTGTCGCCGATGTCCGACTGACGGCCGAAAACGATGTCGTAGAGGTCCTCAATCTTCAGGTAGCTGCTGAGACTCAGAGCCGTGCGCTCCACCGTCCAGTCTGTCACGACGCGCACCTCCCAGAGGAACGGCACAGCGCGGTACAGCTGGTAACCAAGCTGTGCAACGGTGGAGCGGCCGCGGGTGCACGTGAAGGGGTCATGCCGGCGGTGCCGCGGGAAACCAACGCGTACCTGTAGCACCGAAATAGTCAGCGCGAGAATTTTGAGAACAAAGTACAGGTTCCCCACCGCACGAGACTCCACCACCACGAGATTGCCCCACACGAGAAAGCACACACTGTACGCAATACCACACAGGGTGTTCAGCACAAGCTTCCCTGGCATGTGCCGTGCAACATACAGCATTCTGTCGGCGATCATAAGGAGAATGGAGAAGAGCACCACCATCACCAACGGACCGGGTAACAGGTTCCGCTCCAAGCTCTGTTGAATGTTGGCCTCCGTCCCTCCGGACATCTTGTTGTATCCAACCACAAATGTCACCAAAGCGATGGCATCAACCGTCAAGTAGTATATATACCAGTCACGACCGACACCAGGGGTCCTAATGGCGTTGCGCACGAACAGAACTACAGCCTTGTGGGTCTTCCGACGCATCGTTGAGAAGTGACTCGGGATGTTTAAAGGGGGACTAGATGAATCACCTGCGCCACGCGCTACCATCTGCTGACCTTCCTCTCCTGCCGCTGTTGCTTCAGAATCAACAATATCATCAGTACCTTCCAAAGGATTGGAAGTGGGTGAACTGGAAACGCGAGGATGAGAAACAACATCCACAGCAACACCTACAGTGGCATCATCTACGACGGGTTGTGTGGGTGTGGGTGTGGGGGGCTGAAGCATCCCTCGGCTTTCCAGAATATCCTTCGGACTGTACACGCCGTTGTACAGAGAAATTTCCTGATGCATGTAGAGTACCGCAAACACAATGAAGTCCGTCATGACATACGAATACCCGATGCTGTGCTTCCAGTACACATCCGCCTTCACATCGAGGAAAGTCCATGACACAAAATCAAACAAACGAGGTGAGTATGCAACCTGAGATACAATAATGCCAAGAACTGCTTTTAACAATATGCCCAAAGCCACGTAGTATGAGGTTATGGCAAACATATAACGCGGGGCGAAGGGTCCACATGTGTTTGCAACCACAAGGATGAAGCAGAACGGCACCATATCCCACGCGCAACGCGTAAGCATAAAGTTGATCATTGTTACCAAGAGTGCCAGAAGAGACGTGTGCCGCTCCACAGCTCGAATAGTCACCCCAATGAGACGTGTGCCAAGGTTCCTATAGTGTGCGGCGGTGTTGTTATCCGGCTTATACGTGTGGGCTGCGAGCCAGTCGGCCATCTTTGTTGCGTACTTTATGATGGAAGACCACACACTCAGCGAGGCACGCCGCACAAGGGTCATGAAACGCTGCGTACGCGTGGGAACGCTGCTTGGCGGAGTGCAGGTTTCCCCGCCGCTGTCATTAGCCATCTCCTGGTATTGCTTATGTTGTCCTGAGGCTCCCAAGCCTGCCGTGTCCGCGCGTCGCTTGATGTGGGTGGGGTGCCCAAAGTCAGAAGCCGAAGCCGGAGCCGAAACAACAGCACTGGGAGTGGTGTCTATTAAGATCTCTTCTGGGTCCCACGTGCCTTCGGCGCAGTTTTTGATGCAGCGAATCTCATCCAGCTTTGCGTGAAGGGCACGGCTCCGCGCCACCGCCAACTGCTCCTCTGACTCCTCCTTCGCCCGGATCCAGGCCCACAGCTCATCGTGCTTCACCTGCAGTCTGGCAGTGTGGCGGTACAGGCGCCGCACCATCTTCACGTAGCGGAAGTCGCTGAAGATGCGCGTCTGCAGCGCCACAAAGAAGAGCAGTAACACATGTAGCGGACCCAACTCGAAAATGTGCCCCGCCTGCGCGACGCCGATCACCCCGCTGAGAGTCCGTTGGTCCCTAAGGAACTGCCGCACGTACGGGGTGTTGCAGATGGACGGCAGACATACAAGGGCGGTGTACATCCCTGCGATGGGTAGCCACAGGTGGAAGAAGCGCCAGTGCAACTCCTCAAACAGCGCCACCTGCAACACGGCAGCAACCAACAGAACAAGATTGATGAGGGAAGGCTGCGAGGATACACCGGCAGCAAAGGAAAATAGGGGAACAGGGTACGTGTACGTCACCACAAAGATCATAAAGGTGGTGATACGTCCAAGGACGCTCCGCGGCAACGTCTCGTTAAACTGTGGAACGGCTCGCTCGAATTCCTCCTGTGACAGCCGTCGCAGCGATTTGACGCGTGCTGCCCGGATGTAGTCAACCAGCGTTGAGTGCCCGCCGAATTCTGCGCGTATGACCGCGAAGGAAACATTCGTATCGGCTGCCTGCTGTCGGTTCGTGTGCAGCAGCATAATCCCTATAAAACAGCCAATGAGAGCGTCCCAATGCGTCGCAAAGACCCAATGGGCCCACTTGTTCTCATCATCGCTCTCTTTGAGAACCTCCTCGACAACCGGGAACACGTTTTGCACCACGTTGAACTCCAGTGCGTATAACCAGATAAGTGAGATGGTGACCAGCACCAACAGCACNAAGGAACGCATAGCATGGTGAAAGCGATGCCTTCCCCCCATTAGGAGCAATACCAGCGCCAACGCCACCACAACCCCCACACATGAATCACCACTGAGGGCCAGAACAATTAAGAGTGTCAAGAGAAAAGCCTCATACCCGACGTAAAAAAAAACCTGCGTGCAGAGAACACTTCTCCAGTTGCTGCTCTCTGGTCCCTCAGTGCGTTGTCGGCGTCGTATCTCTTTGTTTGCTCCACGATTATGAATACGAAGCAAAACCGCGAAGAAGACCAAGACGGGCCCAATCACCTGGTCAAATACCAACGTGTCAGCTTCTTTTTCCAGCCCAATAAACTTTGCCAGAGACACGCCACGAAACTGGTAGGTGATCTCTGGCACAAATGAAAACTTGTACGTGTACACAACGAGTATGTGCAGAACGCAGTAAATTAATACAGAGACATGCGTGAAGTCTAGGAAGAAGAATAGTATGTAGACAGCACTCATGGCGGTGTAGCGATGCGTCGCGGCGACAAAGAGTGCCACCCACACCACCACATCACCGTAATCAGCGCTGAACGAAGTGGCCCAGTCAGAAAGCGTGTCCATCACCGCCAGAAGCTTCACGAAGTGCCGAAGGAAACGTTGGTCGTTGCTGGCAAGCGACGGCAGTGCTGCGTCGGCGCCACTGCTTCTGTTCATGTTCTCCACCACGCTCCCTCTTTCCCCATCGGTATCCACCCACCGGGGCTTCACATTTCTGACGCTCTTTGTGGCGAGATGCGATATTGTCGTTGCGAGGGCAAGGAACCACGGAGCGAGAAAGAATGTCAGGAGCATGTCTTCATCCGTCCGGTACAGTCCTGTCTCCCGCCGGCACTGGCTGCTGCTGTCGCCGCAGAGGGGCTCGAAGACGTACTCCTGCAGCACTTCGGTGAACTGTGTGAACTGGCACAAGGTGGTGGCCCACACAACGATTCCGCTGTAGACACACGCGAGGCACCACAGTGCGCCAAGCAGCGAGTTTGTCACGCCGAGGAATGCCGTCGCGATGGCAAGGACAAGAAAGAGCCCAAGAAACCCCTCCACAATGAGTGAGGCGCGCAAAAACACACCAAACGCTACGAAAACAGTGGTGGCGATTGTCATGGTGATGCGCATTGACCATTGACGGGCGGCGGTGGAGCCGCAGAAGCGTTCCCATTCATGCAGCGAGACAACCACTCCCCATGACCTGCACGGGCGGGCATTCAGATACAGAAATGCCACAACAAAAACAGCCACAACAGACGGAATGCTCTCATAGCGTGCACGCCGTGGGACAAATCCAATAGTGGCATACTCAAGCGGCCCATCACCAACGTATATGGGCAGTGAAAAGAACTCACTGGCGAAGGTGAACACAAGCTCAAATGAAGCCAAAAGGATAAGACCCAACACCACAATCACCCATTTGTCGTCTATAATACCGGGAACTAAAATGTACACGGCAAACAGAACCAACACAATTGCATGGATGATATCCATATAGTAGATAAAGGAGCCTGCGACGAAGAGCATCAGTAGCACCACGAGAACAGCTTGTTGCCTGAACAAGATCTTCGCCCAGTGGGCATAGTGTAGCAGTAGCGGTTGTTTCGACTCATGCATCTTCTCCAGTAAGAGGGAATCACCAATCTTATCCTTACAGAGAGATTCACTTTCCTCTGCGGTAGGGTACCGCCCAGTGAGGCGGTAGAAGAGCTCTTCAAACGCCCCTTGACTGTCGAGAGGGCCAGGGGGAACATACGCAAGCAGCTCTGCCACACGCTCCTCACCCAATACTTGCTTCGCAGAACCCAGCATCTCGTCATGCTCCGATACAGCTTCGTTGTTGTTGTTGTTGCTACCAGCATTGCCGTTCTCATTCTGGTTGTTGTGCTCTTCCAACGACACTCCATTGGAAGTTTCGTGCGGCGGTGAGGATGACGACAATCGTGGTGTTGTTGTTGTTGTTGTTGATGGTGGTTGTGCTGGCAATGGGATGAGCGGTGCGTGCGTGCAAACGGGGTGTGGTGGCGCAAAGTACGCCCGATAGCGAAACGCAATATCGGCTGTGATCATTGCAAGAAACAGCAGTTCGCCGCATATCAACTGCGCCAAGCGTGCCCAAATGTTCGCGTCACTGAAGAATAGACGCAGCATGATATCTGGCTGCACCACCTCCGTGACAAATACGACATACTGCAGTGACACGACAAGAAACGAGAGTGCTAACGTGGGGCGGAGCAGATGCCCAAAGGAACGCCGGTGCATCAACTGCCCAGCCATCATTGTGGGCAGCATGCACAGCGAGGCAACGGTGGGAAAGGCAATCATGTTGGTAGCCATCAAAATCAGTGGCACCAGGCGTGAGCAGGCAAGAAAACCACGCATTATCGATGCACCAGCAAACCCCATGGGAGGCGGCAATTGCTCACAGGAGTTCGCGCCGGAAGCGGCACTCCTGTTTCCCGGTATCCTTCTCGCTCCAGAGCTTCTGTTTTGCACGGCATTGTCAACGGCATCCGTATTGTTATTAGGAGCATCAGCCAATGCGGCATTTCCATCATTAAATACCACCTCTGTAGAGGAACGACTACTGTTGCTAAGGGCACCTGGTACCGTCTCCTGGAGGAAGGGAACATTTGTCCTGTTCCACTGCAAGCACTCCCAATGGCAAACCATAGCCATCTGCGCAAGGCAGAGGGTGGTCATCATCAAGCAAACCTGTATAAAGCGGCGGACGGCGATGTTCACTTGCAGTTCGTACAGTCTAGACACACCGTACATGGTGTCCACGTCACGCAGCGCGTGGGCGACAAAAGCATTCTGAGAAACACATGTGGTGACCAAGATAAGGCAGCCAAATATAACTCCGCTCAAAGAGGTGAGGTACAGGACGAAGAGCCGCAGCCGGCCACGGCGAGGCCCAACTGCCCCGAAGAACAGTCGATCCCCCACCCATGTGACGCACAAGAACGCAATCATTCCGATTACCAGCAGCACTCCACCTAATACTGTAGGTGCCACTAATGCCGCGGCAACACTCGTGAGGGCCCATCCCATTGTTGTTAAGAGTGGGCGCATCCGCTTCATGGGGTTACGGCGTGTCAGTTTCTTCCAGGCGAGGAGGACATACAAAAGTAGCAGTCCAGAGGGGACGCAAGCTCCCGCTACAATCAACCCATTGGTACCGTCTCCCACTTCGTAGATGCCGATCGATTCGACTATGACGCGGTGCTCTCCAAATGTAGCATCCCAAGCCTTCTGTGAAAATCTAGCGGCTAGATTTATCACCAATGTGGCGACGAGTTGCAGCAAAGCAAACAGTACAGTTATCAACAGAACTGTTGGTGGCGTTGGCCCCCGAGGGTCACGTAGAAGCAATATCCATGCAAGCAGCACCGCAGCGGGTAGGTGGCCCCCCAGCACTGCCGACGATGTGAGCAGCCCTCCCAGCAGAAGGGCGTATGGATGAATCATAACGGGCCCGCCCCGCTTATTTTTCCCCTTTTTGGAAAATAACGATGTATACCCCAACGCTTGAGTACGCACATGCTGTGTACAACACAAGAAGTCATATTACCAAAGAAAAGGAAACAAACGAAATTTAAAACGATAACAACAGAGAGAACACGGGAATGCAGGGAAATTGTCATTCGCATTGTTAATGCGGCCACCCATGGGCATACACACGCTCCAAGTAGTGTCATAAATACACTCCATTCACTTCACCAATTGTCCGCCACATACGAAGACGATGCCACCATACCTTATCTTTCCCTCTCACCCTCTCTCTCTCTCTCTTTCTCTCTCACGCATACACACAAGAACCAGGGGGGGGGGAGAATCCCACAGCACCACACACACACACACACACGAACCGAAAAGGATGGAGAAACGCATTTCGCATCATGACCGTCCATAGATGTTCGAGCGCGATCCCACCACCGCATCTGGCATACCCCACCGCCGCTGTAACTTTCCATGCGCCTTGACAAGGTTCCACATGTGACGCCGCCGCCAATGACTTAACGCGACATTCTCCACTGTGTTCTCCGCTATGATTGACTGAATTCGTGAGTTAACGTAGTTGTCCATAGAGGTCATACCAGTAGCCTTTGTCTCCTCCGTTAGCACGCCCTGTCCCCAGCGCATGATCTGCTCATGCGAGGGGTGGGAGAACAGCACCCCGCCATCCTGCAGCGCAAAGGCGCGGAAGTTAGGTGACAAAGTCCGCGTTGTGGGCACTAATGGGGCGTTATCCGCAAAGACGTCCACTGGTGGCGGCGGCAGTGACTGCACACGGAATGTGCGATCCTTCTTCGGTGTGTAAACACTCATGCCAAAGCCGCCGAAGCCGTAACGAATAAATCCCCGGTTGTACACACGTCCAAACCGTGTACCGGCGTTGGGGTGTTGCGACTTTTTCTTTTGGTGCGATTGCACCTTCAGACATACTCGGCAGAGGCGCAGCATACAGTGAACGTCCCCACCGCTCCTACTTCTGTTTGTTTGTTTGTTTGTTTTTTTGTTTTGTGTGTCTCCCTTTTTTTTTCCTTTCTTCTGTGTTTGCGGTTACCTACCTTCTACCCTCGATAACGGCGTGGGGGTTGTTGTTATGGTATACACTCCCCCCAGCGGGAACGACGTCTGTACGTTTGACCTTTCTTTGTGCTTCCTGGTTGCTTCCTGTCACTGTTGCTGCTGTTTGCTTCGCCTCGATTTGCTTTGCGGTACACACGCACACCCCACGGCGGCCTTTCCATACGGCACGAAGAGGCGAAAGTGAAGAAGAGGGGGGAGAAAAAAAAAAAAGGGGGGGGGGGGGGGAGGGG